TACAGTTATTATAGCATTATTGATTATATTCCTTATGCTATACATTACCTCCCTGTGACTTATTTTAAAACTGGAAGTTGGTATCTCTTAATCCCCGTCACCTATTTTGCCCAACCCTCTAAACTCCTCTCCTCTGACAACCACCAGTTTGTTCCCTGTATCTATGAGTCTGTTTCTGTAGGAAGACTACATGTATAGGGAATTGCAGAGCTGATATTAGAGCCCAGGGTTCCTGACTCCAAGCTTCTCTGTTGATAATAAGGTCCCAGATATCACTCCTAGGTAGTTCTGTTTCATTCTATACCTATCTCTCAGCTCTTTCTTAACTGGCTGTTTTATTCTCCACCTAACCTTCCATGTCATGCTTGTTTTTGATTTTTTTTTTTTTTTCCCGGTACGCGGGCCTCTGACTGCTGTGGCCTCTCCCGTTGCGGAGCACAGGCTCCGGACGCGCAGGCTCAGCGGCCATGGCCCACGGGCCCAGCCGCTCCGCAGCACGTGGGATCCTCCCGGACCGGGGCACGAACCCGCGTCCCCCGCATCGGCAGGCGGACTCTCAACCACTGCGCCATCAGGGAGGCCCCTGTTTTTGATTTTTTAAAGCAAATCCTATCTTACAGATCTTTTGCTTATTCTTCTCCAGACCTTCTTATTCCTGGCCTCTCTCCTCTCTCTAGGTCAAATCATACTTGCTCTTTTGGAGACTCCAGCGTAATAAAGTCTAACCCAGTGGTTCTCAACAGGAGGAAATTTTGTCCCCCAAGAGACATTGGGCAATGTCTGGAGACGTTCTTTTTTTTTTTTTTAATTTATTTTATTTTATTTATTTTTGGCTGTGTTGGGTCTTTGTTGCTGTGTGTGGGCTTTCTCTAGTTGTGGGGAACGGGGGCTACTCTTCATTGCAGTGCACGGGCTTCTCATTGCAGTGGCTTCTCTGGCGGAGCACGGACTCTAGGTGTGTGGGCTTCAGAAGTTGTGGTTCGTGGGCTCTAGAACACAGGCTCAGTAGTTGTGGCGCATGGGCTTAGTTGCTCCGCGGCATGTGATATCTTCCCAGACGGGGGCTCGAACCCATGTCCCCTGCATTGGCAGGCGGATTCTTAACTACTGTGCCACCAGGGAAGCCCCTGGAGACATTCTTGACTGTCACACTGGGGGTGGTTACTGGCATTTAGTGGGAAGAGGCCAGGGATGCTGCTAAATATCCTACCTTGCACAACTGGGAATTATCCAGCCCACAGTGTCAGCAGTGCCAAGGTTAAGCAACCCTACTTTAAGCCTGTGCCTCAGGAGACCTTGTCTGACTCCTGACCAGCTCTTTGAGGTGGCACAGCTGTGCCAGGCCATCAAGGCTGTATTGCTTTGAATTTGTGGTGAATTGACAATCCATGGCTTTGTGGGCTACATGGAGGGGAGTGGCTTCCTGCCACACAACCACAAGATAGGGCTTTGGACCTCTTGGACTTCCACTTAGAATTCCACAGATACTGAATTACATTTGCCAGTATCTCGGTGTGGGACGTCAAACCTAACAGCCTGGGTGGGTCACCGCCTCACCCACACTTACAGCGTGTGCTGGTCTGAGGCTTCAGTGGAGTGTTGGAGTAACAGGTGTTGTGGTGATGCTGGTGGTGGTTTTTTTCCCAAACATTGGAAATCTATTGGTTTTCCAGCATCAGCTCCATGGTGCTTATGTTCTTACTGGTGGGTTTGTGGCTGTGATTCTCATGTGTGTGCTTTGGAAATGACCCAGTTCAGTACACCTTGGATGAGATGATGATTGACCAGGGTGACAATGGCTGGAAAACTACCCATACAGATGTCTTCCACTTTCCTCCATACTCTGGTCTGCTCTGTGCTGTGCTTGGCGTGGGTGCCCAGAAATCTGGGACATTGATTTCCTGGCCTTGGCACTGGTGAAGTGATGAGAATTATCAGGAATTTCTCTCAAGGGGTAGAACTAAGTAGGTAGTTTGTTCAGAAGAGGTTTGTGGATCTTCTCTTCTATCCAAGGTGAGGGGCAGACTTAAGGGGTAGACCTAAGACCTAAGGAGCTTTAGCGATGATGCTTATATTTTATTGTAGGTTTTCTGGACAACAGACGGGGGAGAATGTTTTGCTGGAGGCCCTGGGTCTGGAAGAAACTGGGCTAATTCCTCTGAAATTGCTAGAAGGGGGATAGGTGGGACCTAACACAGACTTTCCGCTACTACCCTGCAGGCATTATTACCATGGCGCTGCGTGGCGTGTTGTGTGCATCCTTGTGGGGCCATTAACTTGGCACCGTCTTGTATGCCCCAACCTGCTGCTTCTCTGGCTACGTGTTCAGCCACTTCTTTCGGCAGATCGGAGGTGAACATTGGGTGAGGGACATCATTCTCACCACCAGTCTCTTCTGACGAGGACTTCCATTTCCCTGGTGGGCAGGCCTGGGCTTAGGAACTTAGAAACGTCATGCAACCTGGAACAGAGTTAGTGTGAGGTTTCCTGCCTGGACCCTCACGTGCCTGCTTGCTCGTCCTAGATTCACCACTTCACAGCCATTCAGTGTTTTATTCTTGATATCGGCAATTTGTGTCTTCCTTTTCTTTTTTCAGTCTTACTAGAGGTTTATTGGTCTTTGAAAGAGCCAGTTTTTTTTGTTGTTTTTTTTAAGAACCAGTTTTTTGTTTGTTTAAATGCCTTTCTGTTGTTTTTTATCTTTTTCACTTCATTAATTTTGGCTCTTCATTATTTCCTTCCTTCTGTTTGTTTCAGGCTTATTTTTCTTTTCCCTCCCTTCCCCTCCTCTCCCCTCCCCTCCCCTCCCCCTCCCTTCCCCTTCCCTCCCCTCCTCTCCCCTCCCCTCCTCCTCCCTTCCCCTTCCCTCCCCTCCTCTCCCCTCCCCTCCTCTCCCCTCCCCTCCCCTCCCTTCTCCTCCCCTCCCCTCCCCTTCCCTTCTCTTCCTTCCTCCCTCCCTCCTTCTCTTCCTTCCTTCTTTCCTTCCTCCCTCCCTCCCTCCTTTCCTTTCTTTCTTTCCCACATCATGCAGCTTGCAGGATCTTAGTTCCGTGACCAGGGATTGAACCTGGGCCCCTGGGCAGTGGAAGTGTAGAGTCCTAACCACTGGACTGCCAGGGAAGTCCCCTTATTTTACTTTTCTTTTTCTCATTTCTTATGGTAGTCGCTTAAATTATTGATTTGAGATCTTTTCGTGAACATTTAGTGTTACCAGTTTCCCTCTCAGACTGCTTTAGCTGTGTCCCACAAATTTTGATACCTACAGGTAATACATTGTTTCTTTTAAGAAATAACCTAGCTATTTTGAAGACTTTTTTCTGATTCCTGGTATTACGAGTGACTTTCTGTTGTATCCTGGACAATTGGGGTATCACAAGACTCTGAATCTCATTTAAATCTTCTATCTTAGTGGGCTCTGCTGACACCATACTGGTGAAGCAAATTGGATGCTGCCTCATTATCACCGGGTAGAGATGAAAGCTTAGGCTCCCCACTAATGGCACGGTGGGGAGGGGAGGAGCACCCCATCAGTACCAAGCGAGGGGGGGCTCTAGACTCACACTCCTTCTCTGTTTGTTCCGGGGTGGGGTGGGGTTTTTTCCCATGGTGGTGGTCTGCAGTAGGGCGGACATTGTCAAAATAAGTTTGTCTTGATAGGCTGCTCCTTTCCTGGTCCTTTAGTTAGAGAGAGCAGGCTTTGATTGGGGCTTTTTTTTTCTTTCTTTTTCTGTACATATTGGCTTTTCTGGGTTGCAGGCTTCTTCTGTGCTAGTCCAGGATATGTAGGGAGCAAAAAGAAAATCTGGTAACTCACTGCTGTGTCATCACTTGAGTTTCAAGTTTCCTAGATAGTCGCCTTCTTCTCTCTACCTTTCAGACTCTTCCTATAACGTTATGCATTATGTCCAGGGTTTTAGCTGTACTTAGTGGGAGGGATAGAGGAAACTGTGTCTATGTCATCTTGTCTGTAACCATCATTGACCTCTTTTAATACTTTTAGGTTATTTTAAAATAAACTTTTAATTTTAGAATAGTTTTAGGTTTACAGAAAAGTTGCAAAGATAGAGAATTCCCATATACCCCATACCTAGTTTCTCCTATTACTAACATTTTATGGTACATTTGTCGTATTCATGAACCAATACTAATATATTATTAAAGTTCATACTTTATCTAGATTTCCTTAGTTTTTACCCAGTGTTCTGAGATACCATCCAGAATACAACATTACATTTTGTCATGTTTCTCACACTCTTCTTGGATATGACAGTTTCTGACTTCCCTTGTTTTTGATGACCTTGACAGTTTGAGGACTCAGGCATTTTGTAGAACGTCCCTCAACTGGGATCTGTCTGATGTTTTTCTCATGATGAGACTGGGGTTATGGGTTTGGGGGATAAAGACCAAAGACAGAGGCGAAGTGCTGCTGTCATCACATCATATCAAGGGTACCTACTATCAACATGTCTAATCACCGGTGATGTTGACCGTCACCTGGCTGAGGGAGTGTTTGTCAGTCTTCTCCACTGTGAAGTTCTCCCCTCCTCCTATTTCCATATTGTGCTTTTTGGAAGGAAGTCACTATGTGCAGCCGTTATAATATCATTTCTTACACTTACATCAGATCTTGTTTTCATCTTACAAATTCTGACTTATTAGAGGCATTAATTTTTACTGGGTCTGGACTTCCCTGGTGGTGCAGTGGTTAGGAATCCGCCTGCCAATGCAGGGGACATGTGTTCGATCCCTGGTCCGGGAAGAGCAACTAAGCCCGTGCACCACAACTACTGAGCCACGTGCTGCAACTACTGAAGCCTGCGCGCCTAAAGCCCATGCTCCGCAACAAAAGAAGCCACCGCAATGAGAAGCCCGCACACTGCAACGAAGAGTAGCCCCCGCTCACCACAACTAGAGAAGCCCATGCGCAGCAATGAAGACCCAATGCAACCAAAAAAAAAAAAAAAAAAAAAATTTTACTGGGTCCATATTTTTCCAAACATTTCATTTTAATATTCATTACACCAATATCAAGCATTTACACAGAAAAGATGAAAAAAAAAGGCATGATTTGAAAGACTAGTTCTCTTAATACTTCTGGGCACTCAAAACTAATGTCCTAAGGAAGTCTTTAAATACTATAATAGCCATTTTTAGGAAAAACCTAAAACCATATGCAGCCATAAGACCAGTGGAATTATTCTGAATGCTTCTGTTTGTCTCAAGGAAAGTTATCAGAAGAAATAGAGCCATTTCAGTTTTCTTTGGAAAGCTTATTTTAAGAGGAGTCTTGGATCTTACATATAATTTCCTCATGACTCTCCGAAATTCCAAAAAGGGAAGCGCAATTGTTAATGTTATATTTGTCCTTTTGTCATAGACGGGGCTATTTTTAGACTAGATAGAATGGCCTGTGCTTTATGTAGACTTCACAGTACATTGAGGCCTGCAGAAGAATCGTCTTGGGTACACACGTGGCCATGTAATAGGACTTGAAACATAATGTTACCCTTTTATATTACTAAAGACCATCCGAAGTTTTCTGTTTGGGCCTTCATGACCTATTTATTAGAACCATAACCTGTTTGATGCTGAGTTTCTGGATATGAGGAGTTATTAAGAGAAAATATGACTTTTTTACAAAACAGTTCCAGGAATACATTGTAGAGGAAAAGGATAAGTGCCTAAAATAAGGATATTGTTAAAATGCTACCTGTGTTGAAGAACCTTTGTGCAATCCCTGACGTCATAATGAACAGAATATTTTGTGAGGCTGTTACATTATTCTCCTTTCATCCTTTTCCGTTTGATTGAATGTCTTGGTCATACACACGACTGGCCACATTGACTCTCTCGAGGACAGTGTTCCATCTCTGACTCTCACCAGCTCCAACTTACCCACCTTATTTTCACCCGTGAGCATTTTGAAAAAGTAGAGCCATGAGGGAAGTAACCTTATCAGATACTGAAACAACTTATAAAGTAAAATAATTAAGATAATGATGTATCGGTCGAGGTGCAGACCGGTAAACAGAGATTCAAGAAAAGACCCAAATTCAAATGGAATTTAACACATGATAAAGGTAGCATTTCAAAATAGCTGGGAAAAGATAGTTATTCCCTAGACAGTGTTGCGAGGTGATGGGAGGTAGAAACCTGGACCTTGACCTAATTCTTTACATTGTATTGAATTCCTCTTGGATCCAAGATTTAAACATAATAAAATGAAACCATAAAGGTACTATTAAAAAGAGTTAGCATTTTAACAGTTCTGGAATGGGAAAAGTATAAAAATTATGCAAAATTCAGAAGCCATAAAATAAAAATGCAATAACCTCTTATTTAAACACACACACAAACTCAAAAAACAAATGCCACATTTGGAAGGCTATCCGTAACACATTTGACACACAAAGCGCTAACATTTTCAATGAGTGCAGACGTTTTGCAAAGGAAGAAAGGGAAAGACAAACAGAAAATAAAACAAGAGGCAGAAAACAGGAAAAGATGCCTAACCTTACAATCAAATGTAAATCATTTCTCTTCCACTAGAATAAAAACAATGAAAATTCCGGAGATGAGAAATTTAAGGCCACCAGGACTGGGCACCTTCCTTAGGCTCACTGCCTTCTTTTGCATGTGGCCCTCCTGCATGTGCTCACAGGATGGCTGCTGCACCTCCAGGAATCACAACCAGGATCCAGCAGAAAGAAGGGGGCAGGTAGGGGAAAGGCAAAAGGTTTCTGCTTCAGAGTTCGCTCCCTGTCACAAGTTTTCTTGGAAGCCCAATTCTGATCCCATCTCATCTGCTAGAACTGTCCTGGGGCTGCCTGGGAGGATGGGGAAGTGATTTTTAAAAACCTTTTCAAAGTAAAAAGTATACCACTTAGGGATTTTCACAAAGTGAACACACCTATCTGACCCGCACCCAGATCAAGAAACAGTGGGAACCACCTCCTTGCAACTGCCCACGTGCTCCTTCCCAGTCACTGGAGAAGGTGAGCAGTTTTAATGGGTACCTTCTCACTGTGGCCAAAATCGGGTTAAGAAAGAAAAAAAGAATATCAGAAACCAGCAGTCTGTCACACCCGTCGCTTTATATATTCGCCCGAAGGCACTCTTATCATCAGTTTCCCCAAATCTTTCATTCTCAGTCCAAGAAATTTTATCTTAAGAGACAACAGTTGAAATTTACATGTTCTGTAATTTCATATTGCGAGCCTGGGACCAAGAACAACAATCTGGCCTGAACGGGGACTTTCTGCAGCCGTAGATTCATAGGCAGATGCATTGAGAAGGTACCTGTGAGATACGGATCAGGTCTGAGTTTCGAGAGGTCTGTAAATACAGAGACATTCTAGAGGACCATTAGGGACCCCGTCCCATGAATGGGATGAATATGGGAAAATCTGCAGTTCTGTACACATGTTTTTTAGAAGTGAGAAAACCCGCAAATAAGATAGATGTGGCTAACTCTTAGAACAGAATTCAGAATTTATTCAATATTACAGTATGCATATTGGAGAGAACATATTTGTTATGTACAGAGGCCACTTTTCTCAGGGCTCCCAGCCTACTGAACATTCTAACATTCATCTTGGAGAGAATCCCTGTTTGCAGGAGGCATCTGGCAGCATTCCGACACCACAGGAATCAGCTAATTCGCATTCAGTAGAAACGCTACAAATGCGTTAAATGTGAGGGCTTTCAGGAAAAGTAAAGCTCATTCAACGTCAGAGAATTCACACTGGAGAAAAACCATATTCACGTAATGGCTGTGAAAATGCTTTTAGACAGTGCTCAGAGCTAATTAGACATCTGGGATTTCAGAGCAGAGAGGAGCCCTGGGAGCAGAATGGATGAGGAAGAACCTTCAGTCGGAGTTCTAGCCTTAGACAATGTCAGCTAATTCATTCGGGATGTGAAGCGGGCGTGTGTGAATGTGGAAAGCTATCTAGGGGAAGCGTGGAGTATGCTGGACGTCAGTCAGATCATTCATGCTGGAGAGAAGCCTGTGAGTAAAACCAACATGGAGCATCATTTGGGGATAGCGCAGCCCTTTCTCATCTTTGGAGAATTCACAGGAAACAAACACTCTCGTTGTAAAGATTGTGGGAGAGCTTTTAGTCAGTAATCAGGCTAATTCATTCTAGAGAAAAACCTTGATTGTGGAGACTGAGGAAAAGCCTTCAGTTCTTTTCCTTATTGGATATCAGAGAATCCTTAGTGGTATATGGGGAAACTTTGCCAGGGTAGGGTGGGGGGGGATTCAGGGTTTATTAAGTATCGCATTAAAGCATTAATTGCATTAAGAAGGAGTTTAAACTTTTTGCTTCTTCCACTGCAACCAAAGCTTTCATTTCTGTCCCTGATTATCCATAGAATTTTTTTTGTCTCTAATGACTTATCTTCCTTAAGGAAGTAAGGAAGATAAGCTTATAAGCTTGCTTTTGTAAGCTTAACTTCTAATTCTAGTAGGTATTCAGTACATTTCTGCTGAATGAATGAAGTAATGCAATAGGTAAACAGCAGAGTCGGCCTGGCTTGGGCCTTCGGGGTCAGGACTCCATAAATCATGTAGGGCGTGTAAGGACTGCGTTGAGGGGGTGAGGCTTACTGGCAGGATCTGGAGGTTACAAATTCTACTATGACTGCAACATATCTGTGTTCGGGCCCCATTAACTCGAGGAACTTCTACGGGCCACATCTCTACTGCTGAAGACTATTTTGTGGTGGGAAAAGGGGGTGGTGATTTTACTCAAGTTCTGAATGTAGTGGAATCATTTGTATTTGAAGGCTACATTAGGAGGATGCCAGTTTCTCTTTGTTTTGTATTTAAAACTAGACATTTAAAGAGGAAGGGCTACAGTTCTTGAGTTCAACTTCTCATTTCATGAGGGAAGGGTCAGGCACATTTTCTTGTGTTGAAGCAACACGAAAACCACATTGCTTGATGGAAGCTGGATCAGAAGAAAGCTTCATCTAGTTCTTATCCACCGACTGTGTTCTCTCCTCCCAACTTAACTCCTTATCCCTAGCCTAGGATTCTGAGTCTCCTAGAAGACGTCCTTGCTCACCACTATGTCCATTCCCTAGTTGAGGGAGAAGAGATTCAGGTCGTGTGCATTTCTGTCTCCTGACTTTGCATAGAGAAGACAGGAAGAAAAGTTTGAGAAAAAAGGGACAGGTGGAGAAGGGACAAAGAATGGAGAAAGTGGGGAGTGGCCACAACTCATGGCACCCTATTCCTAAGAGGATATGCAATGTCACAAAGGCTGGCTGGAGAGTAACTAAAGGGCTTAGTTTTGCACCAGTTTAGTTCTAGCTGCCATACATTTCTTCCAGCTAGTACGTGGGGCTCATAAAATCCTGCTGCATGGGACTGGCCTCCTTCTCTAGAATTCATCCAACCCAACCCACCCCTTGCCCATTCCAACTTGCTGCTCCTTCCGTGTGCCTTCCGTGGCCCTTGCTTAGGCTCTGCATCCCAGGGACTCATACCCCCCTACCACTATCCCACTGATTTGTTCTAAAATTCATCATTCAGCCCCATTTTAGAAGATGACCCCCATTTTAGAAGACATGCCCATACGTCTGAACTTTCCTGAATCTTTCCTTCCTTGTCGGTGCCCTGTAGGCCCTGGGACTCGGAACTGAGTGCTAAGGTTGCTTGCCTATGTAGGCCGTGACCAATCTTGACGTGCATTTCCTACCACACAAGTAAGATTTCCAATGTCTAAACTTGGGCTGATTTTCCATTTGGAGCTACACCAAGAGCCATGGGGCTCTAAGGGATTGCTGACAGAGAGGTTCAGAGGAGTGCTGTACCGGTTAAGAATGGCAAAGGCTGCAAATAGCAGAAATCAGCTTAGGAAATAAAGACATTCAATTCAGCGATCAACAAGACTGGAAGTAGGTGGTTCCAGGATACGTATAGTGGCTCAACGGTATCATCAAGGACCCAGGCTTTTTTTGTCTGTCTACTCGGCCAACCTTGGTATGTTGGCTTTTTCCCTTGGTTTTGTTGTCTCCTGGTCTCAAGATGGCTGCTACAGCTCCAAGTATCACGTCTCAAACATCCCTGTTCAAAGCAGGAAGACGGGACAGGCCTCTTCACTCTCTCTTCTTTAATCAGAAAGCAGTATCTTCCCAGAAGTTCCCCCAGCCATTTCCCTGTAAGTTTTGTTGGCAGAACTAAGTCATGTGCCCACTTCTAAGCCAACAGACAGCAAAGGGAAGAAGTTACGAGCTTGCTGCAGTGCAACACATGGGTTGGGGAGCGGGGCAGGGCAGGCCTGGTGAGCCCGGGCAGCAGGGCGGCTCCAGGGCTGGCTCCTCTCTCTGCCTTTTTCACGGAGCCCCAGCTCTGCTCAGGTTATCCCCTCCTTTATCTTCTTCCACAAGAGGCTCATTCTTCCCCCAACTCTAATCGCATTTTCTCCCTGTCACAGCTTGTTTTGCTTTTCTTCGGTCTCCAGTTTTCCTCCTCAGTGTAATTCTGGCCAGCACATGGCCCTACTTGCCCTCATGACATCGTGTCACACACTGCTGTCGATACGGTCTGATTTGGGGGTTCAAATGTCCTAAAAGGGGAAACTGCCTGGCCTGACTGGCTTCCTTTACGTTTTTGAGTCGGGCAACTTCAAAAGTTGTTGGCCAGCCTATAGAGATCCTGGTCCCCTGACCTGCCTGTGTGTGTGGTGTGGGGAGGGTGACAGAGGTGGGGTCGTGTGATACAACACAGCCACCTGGCGGGGGGCTGAATGAGGCCGCTCCTCACAGGAGGGGCTGTGTGTGTGTGGGGGGGCAGGTGTAATGGAGTGGAGAAGAGCAGAGACAGTGGGTTCCTGGAGCCCAGGGAAACAAGATAAGAAGATCAGGCCACTCTACACAGAGAGACGCCACAAGGCAGAACACGGAGGCACCAGGCACAGGAGGGAAAAAGCCATTTTTGGACATTTCAGCCCCATTTTAGTGGATGCCATGTGGAGAAGAGGAGAGGAACCTGGCTGGCAGACAGAACCAAGGCCCTTGACTTACGGCCGCAGTTGAACCTGCCCAGGCGAATCCAGATGTTCGGGTCACCCTATTTAAGGTCCAGACATGATGGAGCAGAAATAAGATGTTCCTGCTTCGCTCCGCCTGTTACCTGACTTACAGAATTGAGAGCATAAGTCACAGATTCTTGAGTCTGCCACCACCTGGAATCTCCCCAAACTCCTACCGCAGAAATTCCAGTGACTGCTAGTAGGAAGCCGGGCATTCTCATGAACATGGCTTTAATAGGGCTTGGAAGCATTTGGTACATTACTGGACTTGTATCTTAGAAACCCTTTTGTGGCTTTGACAGGCCACAGAAGAGACCGACTGGTGAAGCAGGACTAATTCAAGATGACCACGTAACGGACAGAAGATGGACCAGTGATTCCAGCAAAGGGAATTAAAAAGTCCGCAATGGGAAAACGAGAACTTTGAAGAGCATGGATAATGGGCAGACCTGGATTTGAACCTTTGCTCCTTTACTTCTTAGTTGCATGACCTTAGGCAAGTTATGTCACCTCTCCAGGAGATAGTTTCTTCATTTGTAATCTGAGGACAGAAACGTCCCATTTCAAGGGTTGCTGGGAGGATTAAATGAGACGCTGTGCCTGAAGCACTAAATGCACGCGAGTTACTGCTACAGTCAGAGCCTCTCACGCGCCCGGTGAGTGGGGCTGAGCCCCAGAGGGAGAGCCCGCTTGCCGGTCCCCATCGAAAGAGCTGGCGTGGCGGTTCTGACGGGGAGCTCCGCTGGGGCCCCTCGTGGTGGGGAGTGGCACTGGGGGGTTAGTTTACATAGCATAAAGCACTTTACAGCTTTCCTTCTAGCTTCTTGAGCTCCTAGAAGCCTTTGGAACAGCCTTCGCCAGCTCCCCAGGAGTCAGAGTCCCCTAGTCTCTCCGGGCTTAGAGTCCGTGTCCCTCCAGTCCCCTGCTCTCCCAACAGCCTTACCTCGATGAGTCATTTCAGTCTCCTCTACCTGTTTCTATCATTCCTTACTCGATTTGGTCTTGCGATAGTCCTTAGAGGAGTGATTTGAGAGGGTGTTCTGGAGATCCAGTGTAAATGACGTTCCAGCTATACACTTCCAAGTCAGGAGCACGAAAACCCAGTGAGGAAGCTGTCCTCCTGCCCAGAGACAGCGGCGTGCGTGAGCTCGTAAGCCTCGGGTAAGCAGGCAGAGAGGCAGCTGGCAAGGGCCCTCCCTTTCTCTCCTTATTGCTCCACAATTTGCTCACATCTCCACCAGGTTCAAGGTTCAGCTGTTTAGAAGCAGCCTTCACTTTCTAGGAAATGCAGTTCTTATGGGCAGTGAACACTAGGGACTAACTCTTATCAACCCCGCCGCGAACATTCCTAACTTACTAGCTTTTAAAGAAATTTAGAAGAGAGCGCCACGGCTGTATAAATCCCTGGATATATGCACAGAATCTGTCCCCGTTTTTGGTAGGGGAGATAGAGATTTTGCAGCTAACAAAAGACAAGGGATGTTCCTGCATTTTGCGCTTGGGACCCAGAACTTCGCCGTATACGAAAGGATGATGTACTCGTGGCGGGGGTGGCACAGGTGGGACGTTTCAGTACAGTCGTTAACATCGTTCTCCTGGTTACCTCCACGCTGGTAACCTTGGTTGCTGGTAACTACAGAAGCACTCAGTGCCAGGTGTTAAGTGAGGCACTGTGAATACAGAGATGCTTCAGACATAGGCCTTGTTCTCAAAGGGCTCCAACTTCATGTTGAGGGTGGACCCTGAGCCAGCTATCCTTATCCAGGACACGGGTGAGCGCTCCAACATCCTGGTTTCTTGTTTGTTCCCTGCCTCCCCCTCTCAAGGTCACTCCCAAGGTTAGCGCAGTGCATGGCAGCCAGCAATGCCTCCCAGGCAGAGCCGAGGCAATGGGGACCCAGCACCTGCCACCTCATGGACATCAGGGCTAATCTGGCTTCCGGGTCGGGAGGAAGGTGTGGCAATAAGGACAAGTTGACCTTCCTCCTGTGTGACCTGGAGGAGAATGGCCAACAACCATCCCAGAGAAGGCAGGCTATGTCTTCAGTCAAGGGTAAGCGCATCTCCATCTGAGATGGCCCTGAACCACAGATCCATCTCTCTGCGTCCACTGCGGTGTCCACAGCTGCATACAGTCACCAATCCCCAAGTCGTCCGAGTCCCTTGGTGCTCAGAGGTGCCGTGGAGAATACAAAGGACAAGATGTGCTTCTTCCTTGAAGAGCTTTCTGTCTGTCCGAGAAGAAAAAGGCATGAGAAGGACACGAAGGACCAGAGCATTACTGGGGTGCTAGACGGGGCTCAGGGGCAGTGGATCTGGTGAGCACAGTGCAGGCTGGGAGCCCAACTGCAGGCGTGCAGGGTCCCAGGAAGGCTCCATGAGAGAGGTGGGCTTTGGGCCGGGCTTGAAGGGTGGGCAGCATTCGGAGGGATGGTGGTGGCGGCTGCATTCCTGGGGGAGCTGCACGTGAGCCATGACCATGGGTGCTCAGAACATGGTTCCCTCATCACCCCCTTGTGAAACAGAGGATTCAGCCAGTGGTTCCTCTTCTCGCTGCTGTAATCACAACAGCCAGAGGCTAGAGGGTTCGTGCAGGCACGGAGCTTTGCGTGGCCAAAGTGGGGGCCCGTGACACTCATTTCCTATGGTGTCATCACAGCGTGAGGCCAGGGACAAGGACATGCTGTCAACACCTGTGCTCAGCTTTTCTGCCAAAGCAGCACGGCGGGGGCCATCCTGGGGGGCCGCTGCTCCCCAGAGGCCAGGATCTGGAGCCTTTATGCTGAAGGTATTATTTTGGGAAACCACAGACTCTAAGCCCAAACCTCGCTCCACCGGCATGACACACGTGGCCAAACACTTGGACCGGATTCTGGCAGAAGATCAAAGAATTCATTCGGCAGAGGAAATCTTTGGATATTCTGAATAAGGGGAAATTTCCATTCATCTCGTAATTCATACTAGAGAGATTCCCTATGAGTGGCGCCAATGTAGGAAAATCCTCCGAGCGAGGCAGCCGCTATCACAGTTGAGAACTCACAGGGGGAGGGCTGGGGGCACGGGAAGCAAAGACAGCGCAAACAAAGAGCTCAGCCTGGAGCCCATCACACAGGAGAAAACCTATATCCTCATGAGCACAACGGCGCTCCGAGAAAACACAACCCTCACCCAACGATGGCTAAGCCCTTCTGCAGATTCATTCGTGTAATGAATCAGGGGTGGTGATCATTTCAAGAGAACTCAGCCCTCATTCATCACCTGAAGGTTCCAACTGGAGAGAGGGCAGATGCTCGTCATAAATGAGGGGGCTCTTGGGGGTTCCCTGGCCTCAGGAAACACGGAGACCATGCAGGGCCCCAGGAGGACTGTCAGAGGGGCCTCAGAGCACACGTCGTATCAAATGGTCATGGAAGAGGAAAACATGATGAAAGGGCAAATTTAGAAAACGATTTTGTTGGAACTTGCACTTTTAGCACCTGTAACGGGACGACAGACTTGGGCTGGAAGGGACGCAGACACCCCCTGGGAGAGAGTCTGCTCTGGGGACACGGTCGTTCACTTGCAGCCCGTGGGGTCCACTTGCCCAGGGACCTAGTGCTGTGCAGGGGAGAAGAAGCCAGGCTCCGGAGCGCTCAGCAGTTTCCTTTTCCACAGGGCCTCGATGTTGATGTTTCTTCATGGTCCCTCCTCCTTCCTCTCCCCTCAGTAAAGTCCTGGCCTTGTGTCTGCCACGTGCCCAGGGGGCAGGAGGCCATCTGCCCACAAAGAGGGTGGTGACCACCATTACACCTGACAACTTGCGAACACGCCGCAAGGGATGCTGCTGTGACCTGTCCCTTCATTCATTCCTTCATTCAACAAACATCTTTCAAGCATCTCCTCTACTCTGTAGCTGGCACATTGTTTGTGTTGGGACAAAGGACAGGGGAAAAGGAGGTGTCAGCCACAAGTGGCTCGGGCCACCCTGGGGAAGAGAGAGGGGAATCAGGAAACCAGGAGCACCTTCGAGACTGCAGGGGTGTCTGTGTCCCTCGTTTCAGAGGGGGGCTTTGGAGAGAGCGCTGGGGAGGGAGGCGGAAGAACTCTGATCTAATGACTGCCTCCCAGGTGACAGGCTAGCGTGTGCTGTCTCCGAGCCCCCTGCGTGCGTGGCATCCATGGTCTCCACTTTGTAAATAAAGAAAATTAGGTGCATGCACAGCTGCCAAGCGGCACAGCTGGTCCAGGTCTGTCTCACTCCTGATCCCAAAGTCTTCCCATCACCACAGGGAGAGAATGGGTCCTTTAGTGCCACCGTTCCTTGGGCGATGTTGCCAGAGGTCTCGGGGACAGTGGGAGGCCCCTGGTGAAGCGGGAGGAAAGGGGATGGAAGGCGAGAAGGGGACTGGCTTTGGTAGACTCTACTTTAGGGAGCAGAGAGAGGCACACTCATTCATTCACTCCTCCCTTTATCCACTAGGCAAATCTCTACGGAGCCCTATGGAGGGCCAGGCGCTGTGCTTCAGTGCTGGGGGTGTGAGTGAGGAAGATGGACACGGGACTTCTATTCTAGAAGGAGGTGGGCGATCCAGGAGGCTATGCGTTTTGAAGGGGAAGCCAGGGGAGAACCCTAACCTCGACCTGCACCGCTAAGGCTGACTTCTGGGAAGGGCTGACGCGTCAGGTAAGAGCTGAAAGAATAAGCATCAGCCTGGTGTGTGCTGGGAAGCGCCTTCCAGAGAGAACCGCGCCGGCAGGGCCGTGGGTGACGGCAGGGCCGTGGGTGACGGCAGGGCGGGAGGAGCCGGAGCCGAAAAGAGGGCCAGTGTCACATACGTGAGGAAACCAGTGCAGACACGGAGGGACGCGAGGAGGGCCCAGGTCACCCAGGGCCCTTAGAAGGAGCCCAGACTGGACCCTGAGAAAAACGGGAAGCGCTGAAGAATGTTAATCGCGGGGAGGCCCCGAGCGGTCTGCAGTTTATCCCTTCCCTCGGAAGCCCAGGGCTGCAACTGCGAGGAGAGAGTTGTCCGAGGATTCGTCTAACTAGGGCAGATGTGGTCAGAGACAGCGTGTGAGTTCTGTCGTTTTTCCTCGTGAACCAAGGAGGTTTCCAACAGATGCAGTGAGCCGAGTGAACAACAAAGCTAGGGCCGAGTGCGGGTGGCTTGATCCCAAGGAGGAAACCTCTGGTGCGTGAAGGGCAGACCTGAAGGTCCCCCAACGAGAGCTTTGGGATGGACGTGCGTGGGCAGGCACCCCCCTCTTGTGGCCAAAAGAGGTACTGCACCCGTGTTCCCAAACAGGCCGGACTCTAGGTTCTCGCTGGGCTGAGGAAGCCCAGTGAAATGAAGCTGGGGCTGCAAGGAGCAGTGGACCCCAGGAGGTTCCCACCTGTTTCTTTGTTTGTTTTTTGAGAAACCTGAACAGTGGAGAAAATGTATATATATGCTTAGAAAGAAAATGCTAGAAAGACACTCAGTGTTACCAGTGATTCTGGTATAGGCTCTGGAATAGGTGACTAAATTTTTCATCACGTTTATACGTATCTTAAAACTTGGTCACATATTACTTTTGTTGATAAGAGAAAAAAATGTATTATTATTATTTTTTAAAAAGAGCAGAAGTGACAGAAAAGTGCCCCAAGGGGGTACTGAAGCGGAGGCCAGGTGGCTAGTGTGAGAGCTGAGTGGCTTGGTGAGGGCTGCTGCCCGGGCAGCCCTGGGCATTTCACACCTGCGGAGCACAAGCCACGCTGAGAAGGTCCGTGCTGGGGACCAGGCTTCCTGGAGGCTGCCCTCCTGTACATTTCTCTCTAGCTGCGTCCTTCAGCTCACACGCACCCAGCCTCGGGGTCCCTGCCCCTCTGCCTTTCTCTCACGTGCTCATCCTTCTCCCATCAGAGTAGCACCCTCCTGACCTGGTCTCGCAGTGGCCCCAACCGCCAGGTTCTAGGTGACCTGGGAGTGTATTCCACACGCTCACACTGGAGGGTTCTCTTCTGCGTGGTCTCTGATTTGTAATGAGGGCTGGGTCTGCTCAGAAACTACAGCCATGCGTGTTCCATCCATGGGGTCTCTGCCTGGACAACTTTTCCGGCTACGGACAAGTAGCTCACCTGGCCGGCAGTTCTGGTCACTCTGGTCACCTTCCCAGCTTCTCTCTTCTCTCTCCTGCTTGAAACTCTTCTCTGGGGCAGGGCAGGTCCTCGGCCTCCCCTCTGGAAAGTTCCCTGATGCTGGTCTAAGGGACTGGATCTGGAGGGCCAAGGACACAGCCCCCATCATTGCTAGGGTCATTCCTGACTGGAGAAGTTTCCAAGGAGGCTCACTTGTGCCGTGGGAGGGTTACATTTCAAAGAAACTCCTCATGAGCTTAATTTCAGAAACGTTCTGAAATACATAAAGTATGTTTTTTAAAAAATCAAATAGGGCTTCCCTGGTGGCGCAGTGGTTGAGAGTCCGCCTGCCGATGCAGGGCACACGGGTTTGTGCCCCGGGAAGATCCCACATGCCGCGCGGAGCGGCTGGGCCCGTGAGCCATGGCCGCTGAGCCTGCGCCTCTGGAGCCTGTGCTCCGCAACGCGAGAGGCCACAACAGTGAGAGGCCCGCGTACTGCAAAAAAAAAAAACCCCAAAAAACCGCACAATTGGTTGTTAGAATCATAATCCAAATAAGGTCTACAGGTTGCATTTGGTTGATAGTCTCCTCAGGTCCACTTCCTTCTTAAAAAAATTTTTTTTTAAAATCTAGTAATTTGTTGAAGTATTTCAACAGTTTGTCCTTAGAACGGAATGACACAATGCTCGAGCGCCAGTTCTGTGCCAGGCACTGTGTTTTGTGCTGGAAATAAAGGCGTGGGCAGATCTGGGGCAAATCACTGACTCTCTCTGGGCTTCAGTACCCGCTTCTCTAACAGAAGAGGACTGGACTAGATGCTCTCTAAAGGCTCCACTCTGATCCCCATCTCATCACTAGGATCCACTGTGTGAGTCTACGCGAACCGCAGTAAAACTTACCCAGGGAACCCTCGCCTTGACCCTACCTCTCTGGGCGGCCGCCCACCTGCCGGGGTGCTCGGAGGTCGAGATAAAGCGGGAGGAGCTCGCCCGGACGCCGGAAAATCGCTCTGACCGCGGAAGCGAGCTGTAAAGGCAGAGACCTCGCGCACGGGCCGGCCCAGCCCAACTACACTTCCCACAGCCCTCTGCAGCCAGCCGGTTACCACGGAGACGGGCCGGGATTGTCGGCTCGGAGACTGTCCGTGGCCTGGGCCTCCGGGTGGCCGTACGCAGAACAGCTTCTACCCCCACGGCTTCCAAACGGGCCGGCCACGCGCGCCCGCCACCCAGCCCTTGACTCTGGAGCCCGAGGAGGCAGAGCCATTTGGCTGGGTCTGGGCCGCCGGGAGGAGGCTGAACTACATTTTCCAGGAGCCTCCGGGCACGCTCGCGCGGGGCACAGAAAAGGTAACATCGAGTTGTTGCCAAGGAGACCAGTCCCGGGGTATTTGGGCCCCTGAAGCCGGTGGACAGAGGTGTTGGAGACAAAGAAGAGAGATGGAAGAGAGAATGAGGATGGGAAACTTGTTTATAAAGCAACATAAAGAGTACACTCCCTCCTGTTTAACTTTGTTTACACCAACGCTCAGGGCCAGCGTGAGCATCGCACAGCCCTCTGGGAAATGCAGATGGCGCTGCCCTAAGGGCTATGGGAAATGTAGTTATTGATTAACAGCCACTACCTCGAGCACCTACAGTAAGGATATGGGATTGAATCCTCCCTGCTTCTCCCTTCTTTTCCACTCACAATGTTTACCTCCCCAATACTTACAGAATCTCTCCCTCTCTCTTCGTGCCAACCCTCAGTGCTGTATTTCAGATACTCACTTAAATCTATTCTCCTCACGGCCACCAAAGTAATTGTCCCTGCTCTCTTAGGGCTCTTACACAACCAAGTCCACATTAACCGGCTGGCATGTATATTTGACCTCTCACCTACTGTCTCACACTAGTCTCCTCATATGTAAGAACCATTCTCTTCAGATTGTTCATCTCATTTGTGATTGATATCTTAAAGCCACTGCCACCACTTTTTTTTTTTTTTTTTGCGGTACTTGGGCCTCTCACTCTTGTGGCCTCTCCCGTTGCGGACTCCGGACGCGCAGGCTCAGCGGCCATGGCTCACGGGCCCAGCCGCTCCGCAGCGTGTGGGATCTTTCCCGGACCGGGGTACGAACCCGTGTGCCCCGCATCGGCAGGCGGACTCTCAACCACTGCGCCACCAGGGAAGCCCATTGCCACCACTTTTTAAAAATGCAGAGCACAACTTCTTGCTTTTAACAGTTGCCCCCGCAAAAGGGTGATACATTCCAAGTGTAGCTGGATTTGCAAAATATTCTTGAAAAGTACTTGAAATAGGTTTCTATCAGTAGAAACCAAGTTCCTCATACTTTGATAAAATTAGGATTTTATTTCTCTGAACAAAATATTTCATTACATGATCTGGTTAATTCACACCTAGGTGTTTTCCAGGTCTTGTAAAGTCACACAAAAGATTAAAACAAAAAACAAAAACACGATGGTTCTTGTATGAATTACTTATCACAAAACTCCGGTAGGATTATAAACAGTCTTAATAGATGTTTTTTTTTTACACAACACTTTGAAAGTCTAAGATCTATAATTACACTTGATCCAAAGAGCTGTAAGCGTGGAGTGAATCTGCCTGAGGCTTTAGAGAAAAGAGGCATACTTTTAAAGGCTATCAGAAAGCCTAGATAGGAGTGAACTGTACGGTGTAAGAAGACAGATGAGGTGTTGCTCACATCAAAGCACCAAGAAACTTTCCTTTTGAAGTGGGAATACTTGGCAGACACAACATTTCCATTAGCTTTTAACTTCGGTAGGAAGAATGGCCCAGATCATAAACATAGAGAATTATTTAACTGATAAAGCAGTTTAGAAGTCACAGTCAAAAATACGTAATTTCTTCTTAACATTCAAAAGCAGAGTTTCCATCTTCCTCATTTATTTCTTTGGTTTTGGTTTTTAAAATGTAGAATCCTTCATTTCTTGCCTGAGGAAAGAGTACGTTTGTTGAAAAAGCATCCGCCAAGGCCAGAATATTCATGTAGTTCTCTGGAATCAGGTGGGGAAGGCTGAAGTCAAGATCTAGAAGGGCCACAGTTCAGAATGATTTTCTTAAGTGGTACCAATGCAGTTACCTTTTCAATGGGTATCAGGAGCACTGCTCTTTTATTAACTCTTATATGTTCTCAGTTACCAGCAAAGCTCCATCTGTTGTTATAGCAACTTAGCCTACACTTTGGACATAAGGGTCTTCTGGCGTTCCAGCAAATGTATAATGATCTCCAGGAGCTTTCCTGAACAATTTTGAGATATGGACATTCAGGTTACAATATAAGTTGTAATTTTCTTTACAACAGAGCTTCAGAATACTACTTGGTCATTTGATTGGTTTCAAGAAATATGATGGGGCTTCCCTGGTGGCACAGTGGTTGAGAGTCTGCCTGCCGATGCAGGGGACATGGGTTTGTGCCCCGGTCCGGGAAGATCCCACATGCCGTGGAGCGACTGGGCCCGTGAGCCATGGCCGCTGAGCCTGCGCGTCTGGAGCAGCGGGAGAGGCCAAAGCGGGGAGAGGGCCCCGCAACCAAAAAAAAAAAAAAAAAAAAAAAGAAAAGAAAAACAAGAAATATGATGCTAGATCTATCTGCAACATACTTGCAAACCATTTTCTGGGTGGTTTAGCTCCAAAAATGGTTATTTGCCCTGCTGTTGTTGCTGTGGTTGTTATTGCTTTACTAGGTTCAGTCTCAAAGGGTGAGACTCTTAGCCAGGTCCACTTGTAAACTCATCTGCCCAGTTACACAAGGCAGTGGAAAGAGTGGGGGCATGGGATCCAGTTCTGTCCCAGTCCCTAACTTGCTGAGTCACCTTGAACTAGTCCTTTGTCACTCCCCCAAAACCTGCTCGTCCTCTTCCATTAATGCCTCAGTGAACAGCATCTGTGGTAGGCTGAATAATGGCCCGCAAAGACATCAGACCCCACTCCCTGTGACGTGCACATCCTGTAAATGATACTTTGCTTGGAAAAAGCGTCTTTGCAGATGTGACTAAATTAAGGATCTTTAGTTGGGGAGATTATCCTGGGCCCTCAATGCAATTATAAGTATCCTTACAAGAATGAGGTAGAGGGAGATTTGAGTCAGATACACAGAGGCGAAGATAATGTGAAGATGGAGCAGAGAGAGATTTGAAGATGCTGGCCTTGAAGACTGGAGTGATGGAGCCACAAACCAAGGAATGACAGCAGCCACCTCTACACTCGTCCTCCTTCCGATCCAGCCCTCACACTGAGGTCAGAGGGGCTTTTCTACCATGGAGATCCGACCACATCAACCTGCAGTGAACATCCTTCAGTGGCAGCTCAAACCCTGACACCTTGGCCTGGCAGGCAGATTCTTAACCACTGCGCCACCAGGGAAGTCCTGGCCTCTTAAATTTTAAAACATTTTTCTCGATTCAAGGGCTCACAAGGGTTGTACTCTGGCTATGGACATAAATGAAAGCTGCTGGGTTAATTTTTCTATTGAGCTCTTGGATAATCATTAAAAATCAGATAAAAATAATCTCTGTTTTGGAGCTGTAGTCTCAAGATCAATTATTATTATTGCAGCTATTATGTAAAGAAGATTTACTACAGTTTGCATTAACGTAATCTTGTGTTCCTTGCAAAAGTTCCAACTGAGAGCAGGTCAGGCAGAAGGAAATTAACCTGGGCCTAAAATGTGCTCATGGATAATCCAGGCAGTTTACTAAGAGTTGACTGTAGTTCAGTCTAAATTTACCAGGGGGCTTCCCTGGTAGTACAGTGGTTAAGAATCCTCCTGCAAATGCAGGGGACATGGGTTCGATCCCTGGTCCGGGAATATCCCACATGCTGCGGAGCAACTAAGCCTGTGTGCCACAACTACTGAGCCTGCACTCTAGAGCCCGTCAGCCACAACTACTGAGGCTGTGTGCTGCAATTACTGAGGCTGTGTGCCGCAACTACTGAAGCCAGTGCACCTAGAACCCGTGCTCCACAACAAGAGAAGCCACCACAGTGAGAAGCCCATGCACCACAATGAAGAGTAGCCTCTGCTCGCCGCAACTAGAGAAAGCCCGCGCACAGAAACGAAGACCCAACGCAGCCAAAAATAAATAAATAAAAATAAAATTTAAAAATAAATAAATAAATTTACCAGGGAACTGTCGTTATCTGCCAACACCACTCTCTCAAGCAGACTGCCCACACACAGCCCTCTTCATTGTAAGAGTGAAACGCAGACAAGCATATATTTCATCTCGTGTCTCTACTTTTCTTCCACTCTCAGTTGAAAAGACCTACATCTAACTTTTTTTTTTTTTTTTTGCTGCATTGGGACATCGTTGCTGCGTGCGGGCTTTCTCTAGTTGCAGCGAACAGGGGCTGCTCTTCATTGCGGTACACGGGAGTCTCATTGTGGTGGCTTCTCTTGTTGTGGAGCACGGGCTCTAGGCGCACTGGCTTCAGTAGTTGGGGCACGCAGGCTCAGTAGTTGTGGCTCACGGGCTCTAGAGCACAGGCTCAGTAGTTGTGGCTCATGGGCTTAGCTGCTCTGTGGCATGTGGGATCTTCCAGACCAGGGATGGAACCCATGTGCCCTGAGTTGGCAGGTGGATTCTTAACCACTGCGGCACCAGGGAAGTCCCCACATCTAACTTTTGATCTACTTAATATATTTTCAGGTTGGCTGTATTAAAAAATTCAAAAAGTACAAATTATGGAAGAACAATAATTCGTAAGATCACTAAAACAAACTCACTTGTACAATAAGCTATAAACTCACCATATTTGCTTATCCTGAGCATTAAATCTTTTGACTATTTTTACAAATGGTTGTTATGACAACATCACATTGTTTTTCCCTGTATTACATGAAATAATATTTAAGAATTAAATTCAAAAAAAAAAAGAATTAAATTCCCCTGAGATAATAAAAAACGTTTTTAGAAGATATATATGTATTCCAACTTCCAGTGTGATACGGTATCCAGATATCAAGGACATCTAAATAAAAATAAAATCTTGCAGAGGTTAAATGCTAATATTTTTCAAGAATATCCTAGGCAAGTTGTACAGATTAAGGAATGAAAATCACATTTAAACCAATGTACGTGGATTAAACTACTGTTGCTATCACTGGGCTATGACAGTTACAATTCCACAACTTTTACAGTATGGCATAATGTGAAGGGGTAAAAAAACCCACCTCAGTTTTCCAGCTCTCTGGAGAGATCTGGGGCAGAGGTATCAGAATTCAATAACAGGAGTTTCTCAGCTGAACTGAGGACAGAGAATAGATGGTATGAGTCAACTCCCTGGCTGACTGTTACCTTTGGCTAAATAAGGAAAATGTCTTCTACAGCCAAAGGGAGATGAGAACCTTAGCAGGTGGATGGATTTCAGATCTGCACTGAAATTGACTTCATTTGGGATGCAGAAGCGTCTAGGTGAAGGCCGGTTAGGTGATAATTGACATCTCCTCCCGGTCTCTGCTCTCAGACACTGAGTTGATTATGCTTCTTAAATACTTTATGAACTCCATTCTGATGTCTTCTGGGTCATCCTCAAGATTTGAGTGCACCAGCTTCAGCTTGTTCAAGGGTGGCGCTTAAAAAAGAAAATAATGTAATTAGCCATGAACTTTTAGTGAGGGGCTATTCCTAGCTCCAAAGGACCTGAGTCTTTTATTTTTTATTTAAAAAAAATATTTATTTATTTATTTGGCTGAGCTGGGTCTTAATTGTGGCACGCAGGATCTAGTTCCCTGACCAGGGATCGAACGCGGGCCCCCTGCATTCGGAGTGAGGAGTCTTAACCACTGGACCACCAGGGAAGTCCCAGGACCTGAGTCGCACGGGAGCCAATTTCTTTAACTTTCCCAAGTCCAAAAATAAAGTTGTGCCTTGCTTGACACAATTTAACAGAGAAAGGTTTCATCACACTGCCACCTGGCAACAGGATCACAGCTCTCCAAGCCACTTCCAGGCCCTCTTTGTTCTTACACCAGAGGAAGGCATTTCTGAATTTTGAGTTGTTTTTTATGGTCACTTTGACACCTCTGTAATGGTGTGTGTCACATGCAAATTGGAGCTTAAAGGCAAGTCAGGAAAGAGTGTCCCTAATAGTACCGATGAGTGGCTAAAACCAGGTTTTTTTCCCCTCTTAGTGTCTGCCTACTTTTAAAGTGTCTGCATCCTGGCCTGGATGGTACAGCAGATCTTCCAACCCAGCAGTTCTGATTTACGTGGTAAGAAAAACAAATGTCTAGGACACAGCAGATGCTCTTTAACTGCACAGGGCTGCTGGTTTCCAAGACACAGGGCAATATACAAATGCCCAGAGCATTTCAGACTACAGCAGAAAGGAGAAGTCCAGGCTTCCTACCCAAAGCCAGGTTTCCTTTGTCACTTCCAGAGCCTGGTTTGTGGTGTGCAATTAACAGACATTGAGTGTCCTGTAAAAACTGCTGCTGGACGAAGCAGGAATACCACATCTCAATTTCCTTCAGGTGGCCTGGGATGTCAGCATTGAAGACGACCACCACCCCGTGAGAGTCCTTCATCAGGGCTGGCCAGCAAGACTCGAACCTGCGTGGCAGAAAAGGACGCAGCGTGAAGGGCAGGTGGCTCTGGCTTCTGCATTTGTTTTGTTTCTAATTTTTAGTGGAGTAGAGTTGATTTACACTGTTGTGTTAGTTTCTGCTATACAGCAAAGTGATCCAGTTATACATATACACATATCCACTCTTTTTTAGATTCTTTTCCCATATAGGCCATTATAGAGTATTGAGTCCCCTGTGCTATGCAGTAGGTCCTTATTAGTTACCTATTTTATACACAGTAGTGTGTATATGTCAATCCCACTCTCTCAATTTATCAGCCCCCCGCCACTTTCCTCCCTGGTAACCATATGTTTGTTTTTTACATCTGTGACTCTATTTCTGTTTTTTTTGTGTGTGTGTGGTATGCGGGCCTCTCACTGTTGTGGCCTCTCCCGTGGTGGAGCACAGGCTCCGGATGCGCAGGCTCAGCGGCCATGGCTCACGGGCCCAGCCGCTCCGCGGCACGTGGGATATTCCCAGACCGGGGCACGAACCCGTGTCCCCTGCATCGGCAGGCGGACTCTCAACCACTGCGCCACCAGGGAAGCCCTCTATTTCTGTTTTATAAATAAGTTCACTCGTACCATTTTTTTTCGATTCCACGTATAAGCAATGGTTCTGGTTTCTAACTGTGGACTTTGAAAATGATGTCTAAGTATTAATCATGGATGGATGACCTCTCACTATATCATAACCCAGTCACTAAAGTTTCAAGAGCAATGCGTATCACCAGTAATTGATGGAGCCCCTAACACATGCTAGGAAGGGCGCTCGCTAGGCCCAAGTCCAAGGTGCCTGGCAGGCAGCTGATTTTTGAATCATTTGATGGAGCAAATGCTCTAAAGGAAACGTACTTTGGATCGCCACCACAGTCCCAGAGCTCAAATTCACACCCCGTGCTTTTGTCGTTGCTTGTAACGTGTGGGTTCTCAAATTCCAGGATCCTAAACATAAAAACAAGAGCAGCACCTCTCCTTAGGAAACATTATACTTTGGGGATGCCAAAGTCAGGGGCGGGTGATGGTCAGGGACTGCGTGGGACGCGGACTGGTCAGGGCTCACCTCACTCCTTGGGTTGGGTTGTATTCGGTGATGTCAGAAGATTCTGTCAGGAAGTTGGCCAAAACAGTTTTTCCACTCTGTGACAATGAAGACAGTGAAAGATCGTTGCTGAAGAGCAGAAAAGTAAACCATAAGCAGGCCCTCCAATAGCCAGCCTGGACCCAGGTGGGATGCAGTAGAGGCCACGGCCGCCCTGAGATCACCAGGGCAGAGGGCTCTCTCTGGCTGGGTGGGCACAGCCTGCTCTGGGTTGCAGGGAGCACAGATTTCAGTGCTGGCTCTGCTGCTGGGTGACTTTACCTGCTTCCCATCATAGGGAATAGCTAGTTCAAAGGCACCAGGCAGGAATGGACGTGGCACATTTAAGGACTAGAAAGGCTGGTAAATTAGAAGAGTAGTAAGGGAGAGGGAGATGTGTATGTGCAGAAATAATTTTGTTGTTGAAGCTAGGTAATGGATACTAGGGTTCATTGTGCTCTCTCCCCTTGTATATGTTTGAGAATTTCCATTTAAAAAAGATATCTGTGTTTGTTTTGCTTTTCATAATTCCGAGCATATTGTTGTTACTTGCTTATTTAACAGTTTAAGTCTTGGAGAGTTCTCTGTGTCAGTTTACATGGATTTGCCTTATTTTGTTTCACTGCTGCACAAAGTAAGAATGTACCTTAGTTTATCCAGACATTTGCTCATTGATGGGCACCGAGGGTGTTTCCATCTGTTCAACATTGTATAGGACTCATGGGGAACGTGGAGGAGTCTTTAGCTACAGTAGCTTTAGAGAAATGTAACTGCCACGCTAAAAGCTGTGCACATTTAAAATTGCAATCCCAGAATACTCCGTTCCCTGAAAGCATTCTAACACTGCATGTTATCAATATTCTAAACTTTTCTCATCCAAACTGATGAGCAAATAAGTGCCATCTGTTTGTTCTGCGACTGTGCGACTGAGCATCTTTTCATACTTATTCGTCAGTTGTATTTCCTGTGCACAGACTTTGCTACATTATCTTGAGTTGCTTCTCTTTTTTTTTATTGATTCTTAAACTTTCCTGTATGTTCTACCTATGAATCCTTTCTTTGTCATGCATTTTGCTAATACGTTCCCCTGGCTTTAACTTTCCTGTCATTTCTTTTAAGGCTTCTTCATTTTTGTGTTGTGTTTAAGACCTTCCCTGTCACAAGATTAAAATCATAGCTTTCCATATATTCATCTACTACAGTGGTTCCCAGCAAGTGGTCCCTGGACGATCAGCATCAACAAAATGCAGATTCTCAGGTCCCTCCCAGACCTACTGAATCAAAACTCTGGGATAGGACCAGCGAGTTGTGCAACTGACCACCAGGCAATTCTGATGGGTGTTTAAGTTGGAGAGTTATTCATTTACTACTTCCACAGTTGTTCTTTTACACATTTAGCTTTTTAGTCCATCTGAATTTTATTCTTGTGTACGGTGTGAAGTACACAGGTAGATTTAATCCCCCGCCATCACCACCCACATGGAAAAGCTAAATGTTCCAAGACCAGGTAATGGTTCAGTCTTTCCTCCTGGTTTTCTTGTTCCACAGACATATCTCATTAGGGAGAGCCACAGGCGCAAAGGAGAGTCGTGAGATCTAGGCTCTGATTCCATAACGCCACTCACTACCTTGGGCCTTCGGGCCTTAGTACAACTGGGTCGAGGTCTGGGAACACCGAGTTCACGGTGAAGCCAGCGGCGCACACCAGGATGGGCGCGGTGGGACTGGGCTCCCGGCTCCTGGGCCCCACGCCCGCCCGGGTCCCGCTTGCCGCCCCGCCGGCCCAGGCCTCACCTCGCAGGGCCCCACGAAGAGGATCTTGGCCTTCAGCATCGCGGCCCGCAGCCCGCAGACCCGCCGGAACCCCAGGCGCTGCCAGAGTCCTCGCCTCCGTCAGGGCGGAGCGGAAGCCGCCGCGCCGGTTGGCTGCCTTCGTTCCCATGGAGACGGGAGCGGCCGCGGGGGCCGACGGGAGTGGGCGGGTTTCTGCCGGGGCGGCGGGGGGGCCGGGCACCCGAGGGGCTTTGGGGTGGTTTGCCGGCCGCCTGGTGGGCGGCGTGGGTTTCGGGTTGGGGGTGGGCGGCAAGGCAAAGCAAGAGGGTAAGAGGGAAGTAAAAAACCCGGATCCAGATTCACTTGTGAGCGAGGAAGCCCGCAGAGCTCGCGGGGTCCCAAATCTCCTTTATTCCTCCCCGTAACCCCGAGAGCTGAACGGGCCAAGTAGCTGGTGAGGTGGGGTGGGAACCAGGCATCTGACGCCTATATCACTCTGGCATGATACTGTCCACATCGAGAACGGATTTATCATATCCCTGGCCCAGTCTAGAAAAGGTCAGGGAGAAAATGAGTCTCTATGGTTCACCACTCACCATCATTTGGATAATCTGGGAGAAACCAAAAGGATGATAATATCCCGGCCTTGTTCACGGGCAGTGCAGGTGTCTGAACGCATTGCTACTAAATTCAGTCACTAGGTCAGTTTTAAATTACGGAGTCGGAGCCGGTTCAGAAATTTGGGTGAGGCCATGAGGCCATTGTATGCTAAGGGTGCCAATACAAAATACGGTAGTCCCCCAGAAGTGCTAGTATAACAACTACAACAAGAACAACAACAAAACCAAAATAAATCCAATACCAAACTGCTTTTTTTGCAATACAAGGTGAACTGGGACTTCCCTGGTGGCTCAGTGGTTAAGAATCGGCCTGCCAGTGCAGGGGACACAGGTTCGTTCCCTGGTCCGGGAAGATCCCACATGCCGCGGAGTAACTAAGCCCGTGCGCCACAACTACTGAGCCTGCGCTCTAGAGCCCGCGAGCCACAACTACTGAAGCCGGCTCGCCTAGAGCCCGTGCTCCGGAACAAGAGAAGCCATTGCAATGAGAAGCCCGTGCAGCACAACGAAGAGTAGCGCCTGCTCGCCGCAACTAGAGGAAGCCAGCGCACAGCAACGAAGACCCAACACAGCCAAAAAAACAAAAAAACCCAAGGTGAACTGTAAGGAAGAGTCTGCCTTAAGTTCAAGATGTCTTTAACTGATTGAATCAATATCTTTTGAATGAATGCCTGCTGTGTGTTCTTCTAGGTACTGGGGATGTACCTGTACCTCTTGAAGCTGTCATTCCAGTGGAGTAGATGGATATTAAGGAAACAAGTTAATAAAAAAAGTACTCTCAGGTAGAGACAATTTTAGATATTGGTAAATGCTATGAATAAAAATAAATCACTAAAGAGTTAAAGAGTGTGAAGGAGCCAATTTTGGATGGAGTAGTCAAGGCAACACCTTGGTGCAGAGGTGACATTAAAGCAGAAAACTGAGTAAAGAGAGGGCGCAGATAAAGCATTGAAAGATGTAGGGTATGAGCAATGCAGCAGAACAGCAAGGGTAAAGACACTGAGGTGGAAATAAACGTGGTATGTTCCAAAAATAGCCCAGAGGGCCTGTGACACCGGTGCAGGAAGAGTAAGGAGGAGAGTGGTAGGAGATGCTTTTGGAGAGGTTGTATAAGACTTTGGGGATTCATTCTAAGGGTGATTGGAAGCCTGTGCCAGGATTGTATTTGGCTATGTGTCATAGAAACTCCACCACAGCAACTTAACCAAATAAGGGATTTATTATTTTCTCACCTAACAAGGAATCCAAGGATGGGCGTACAAGGGCTGATGCAGCTGCTTTCTCCTTACTTTCCTGACGTCTTTTGCTCTGCCTTTGTGTATTTGCTTTCTAGGCAGGAACAAAGGAGAAGAGCAAAGGTCAAAAGATATAGAGTACTACAGACTCCCTTTTCTCAGGAAAACAATGGCTTCCTTAGAATCCCTATCCAGTGATTTCTCCTTCTGTCTCATTGGTTAGAACTGTGTCACGTAGCCTCCATAACTGCAAAGGAATCTGGGAAATATAGATTGTAGCTTTGCACATTTCTTTTCCCAAGAAGTGGGGCCCAGAGTGGGAGTGGGGGTGGGGATGGGGAGTTGGTATTGGCTAGGAAACTGGCCAGCCAAAAAAGTCATCATGGAAGATTCTGAGCAGTGGATTGACATGGATCTGATTTATGTTTAAAAGTGATCACTGGCTGCCGTGTGGAGCAAAGGGGACAAGCGTGGATGCATACATGGCAATTAGGAGGGTATTCAGGTAGCTTAAGAGAGGGATGACGGTGGTTTGGCTAGGGCAGCAGTGGAGGTTGGATCTGGGACACATTTTGAAGGTAGAAGTAGCAGGAGTTGCTGATGGATTAGATGTCAGGGAAAGAGGAGTTAAGGATGAGTCCCAGGACATTGACGTATGAATGTCATTATTCATTGACATGAATAATGTTTGCCATTTCCAGACTTGAGAAGACTGGGGCAGGGTTTGTGGTAGGAGATTAAGAGTTCTATTTTGGTTATGTTAGTTTTGAGATGCCTGCTAGTTGTTGAGGGAGAAATGGGATATAAGATTCTGTACCTGATGGGTGAGGTAAGGACTAGAGCTATAAATCTGGACAAGATATCACTCAGCATGTGGAATGCCATGAAAGCCATGGACTAGATGAGAACTCGTAGCGGGTAAGTGTTGGCAGAGAAGCTAAGTGTAGACAGATAGTGCCCTGGGACACTCTTCTATTTAGAGGAGAATCTAGCAAAGAAAGCTGAAAAGGATCGTCCAGAGAGGCAGGAAGGAAACTAGGAGAGTATGGCATCATGCAAGCCAAGTCAGGATGGTGTTGCAAGACAGGGAGTGATCCATTTTGTCAGATGCTTCCAAGAGATCCAGAGAAGTCAAGGAAGGTGAAGAATCAACCATCAGATGTGGTGGAGGTCACTGATCATTTTTTTAAAAGTACTTTTCACTTACTATCTTTAAACACGTGACCACACATACATATAGCTTTGTAAAAATGGCTAAATATGGTCATGCGTTTGCTTTCTTTTGGTGCAATTTCCTTTTTCTTTTTTTGTTTGGCTCCCTTACCTCACCCTTGACCTCTCCCTTTCCCTCTTCACTGCTTGAAGTTTTCATTCTAGCGAAGAGACAGACAGTGAGTAAACTCCCAACGGAGGGGCTACGATTACAACCTGGGGCGCATCGTTCAATATTTTTCTCCATACATCTTATGAATCCCCATTCTACAAGGCTCTAAATACATAGAGACCTGTAACAGATTGCTAAAAGGGTGACTCTGTCCAATTTTGGCTGAGGCTTTAAAGGCTGACAATAGGTGTTGAGTGTCTCCCAGAGTCTAGTCCCTTTCTGTAGAACTTAAGCACATCACCTGGAAGTTATCAGAGTCATGAAGTTGAAGAGGGAGAGAGGGAAAATTTCTTTGAAGAGCATGCTGTTTGCTCATCTCAGGTCAAGTGAGACATGAGTCTTCAGAGAACTTGTATCCCCTGGCATTTGGGCAGCCCCCTGTTTTCACAATGCACCTTTGAAGATTATGTGCTTGAATCCTTAGATTGGGGTTCTGGAAGAAGAGGAGGGATGCATTCTCAGTTGATGAAAAATGAAGATGGAGTGGAAATAATCTGGATGGAGGGGCTTTGTATTTTGGGTGTGAATTAATTTGACTGAAATAACAAAACTGTATTCTAGTGTGAAGGTTGACAGTCTAGAGATGGTACAGCAGCACAAAAATGGCCTCATGCACCAGGTTCTTTACACCTTTTTTTCTCTGCTGTCCTAAGGTTTAGTCTTTGTCCGCATGCTTGTTACCTCATAGTCACAAGATGGCTGCTGTGCCTCCAGGCATCATGCCTGCAATTAAGCAAAGAAGAAGCGGGAAGAGCATATGCTTTTCTGGTTGAGTCTGTCCTTTTTTTAAAAAATTAACATTATTTAGTCATAATTTACATATAATAGAGTATACCTTTTTTTTTTTGCGGTACGCGGGCCTCTCACTGTTGTGGCCTCTCCCATTGCGGAGCACAGGCTCCGGACGCGGAGGCTCAGCGGCCATGGCTCACGGGCCCAGCCACTCCGCAGCATGTGGGATACTCCCAGACCGGGGCACGAACCCTTGTCCCCTGCATCAGCAGGCGGACTCTCAACCACTGCGCCACCAGGGAAGCCCGAGTATACCTATTTTAAGTGTTCTTTGAGTTTTGAAAAATACGTAGACTCCTATACATTTACTATCTTACCATCTTGCTCAAGATATGGAGCTCGAGTCTAGATGGGGAGACCAACCTATATTGTGCTTTTCACCTTGTGCTTTTCCAAATATAATCTCATTTTAATTCACAACTGGAGCTATTACTAAAAGGCACGTGATGAGTCCATACCCTAAATTGATGTCAGGGAGGAGGCAGGAACCATGAGGCTTTGCAGTGGTTCTCCTTTCTGTGTGAAAAGATGCTGTGTCTCCTCTGTGCACAGAAATGGCTTTGCCTCTCAGTCTGCACCAGCTGTGTCGGGTCCAGAGTCAGGGCTTCCTCAGCCCCTGTGTTTCCTGAGCCTCACTGGGAAATGCTACATCCTTTAACAACCCGTGACTTCTTTGAAGAGTCTTATTCATGTTTGGGTCCACTGGACCCAGTTCAAAGCTTGGTGCACAGTAGGTGCTCAATAAATTTCAGTTCCATCTCCCTCTCTCCCCACACATGCATGCAGACACGTATACACATGCACATTCATTTATTCTATAAATATGTAAGTTAATGAAAGTTCCCTTATACTTGCCTTGGGGGCTTTAGTTTTTGTTTCCAGGTGAGAGAAATAAAAATTGTGAATTGCTTTACATTTCTTGGATATAGTTACTATATAAATTTGGGATTATTACTATAGTAGATTACTGAAATACTTTGCTTTATGACTTTCATTTTAATTAGAAGAGGTTGACTTCAGATGGCTTAATACCCAGCCTTTGGTCCTGAAGGGAGCAATATGACATTGGCAGGGACCAGACCTGGATGACCTAAGAGTAATTTTTCTCCTGATTCTGTGACTTGATGCAATAAAACCT